ATGTTTGCCATCTCTATGTAGGAGGTAGAAGAAGTATAGTCTGTCTAAGTTCTGGCAATATTTTTAGTTTCAAAGGCCCTTTCTCTCATCAAGACACTCCACCTTGCTTTTTAGGGCAATCAGTCCCAATTGAGTTACTTAGGTTTCCTATATACTTTTGGGTATTTTATGCAAATGGGTGGCTAAGGATGAATGAAGTCTGAACCTTCGAGGCAAATTCACTGTCTTAATGACCTCTTCATATACAATTGAGCTATTCAAGCCCATCTGGAATGTCTACTGGGCATCTGAGAGCCTTCCCCTTCCTGCCATCATTTATTTATTTTTAAAACCTAAACTTAAACACTGTAAGTAAGGTGGATTTCGTTATTCTTTTTTAGAAAACAATTCCCAGGATCCATAGCCAGAACAATGTCTAGTTCCCAGGCCCATGGCTTGTAAACATTTCTATCATTCTTGTACATTGTTATATGATGATAAATAATATAAACATTTGTGCTTGAATTGCAAATATCCACTGCAACTGTGCAGTGAGATATAATGAGTTAATGTAAACTTGTGAAGCTATTGCTGGAGAATTGCCTTCTTATTTTGACAATATGACAATGTAACGCTGTGCTTGCCTCAATTGGCCCACACTGAGGCTTGGGGGGATTTAATGGAGTGCACAAGCTGGAATGCTGTGCCTGTCTCAAATGGCCCCCATCTAGATGTAGGGGTGGTTGCCCCCCACTTCATGCTGACCCCTGCGAGAAGGATGATTATGGGATCCTGTAGGAAGTGGTGCTCCCATTATCAGGAACCCAATGAGAAGGATAAATTATTATTTAACCCCTCCGAAGCTGTCTTCCTGTCTGCCCTGTCTAGGCTCTTTTTTTGATCATGGCTTTCAGAAAGTCCAATAATTTTTAAGTTTTCTCTCCTCGATCTATTTTCCAGGTCAGTTGTTTTTCCAATGAAATATTTCACATTCTCTTCTATTTTTTCATTCTTTTGGATTAGTTTTACAGTGCCTTGATTTCTCAAATTGTTACTAGCTTCCAATTGCTCCATTCTAATTTTTAATGAAGTAATTTCTTCAGTAAGCTTTTGGACTTCCGTTTCCATTTGGCCAATTTTGCTTTTTAGGGCATTCTTCTCCTCATTGGTTTTTTGGACGTCTTTTGCCATTTGGGCTAGGCTATTTTTTAAGGTGTTATTTTCTTCAGTATTTTTTTGGGTCTTCTTTAGTATCACTCTCAGTTTTTCCTCTACTTCTCTTACTTGCTTCTCAAAATCCTTTTTGAGCTCTTCCATGGTCTGGGACCAATTCATATTTTTCTTGGAGGCTTTGGATGTGGGAGCTTTGGCTTCGTTGTCTTCTTCTGGTTATGTGTTTTGATCTTCTTTGTCACCAAAGTAAAATAATATAGTCTGACTTTTTTTGCGCTGTTTGCTCATGATCCTGGCCAATTATTTGAGTTATAAACTCTTTGTCAAGGTAGGGATCTGTTTCTAGTGTGGAGAATGTACTGTTCCAAGCTTCAGGGGTTTTGTGTAGCTGTTTTCAGAGATACTTTGATCCAACCATTCTAAAGAGCAATTTGGAACTATGCCCAAGGGTAACCAAATCAAATTGTGCACACTCTCTGATTCTTTGATCCAGCAATACCACTACTAAGTCAGTATTCCAAAGAGATCATGAAGAAGGGAAAAGGACCTCCATGTACAAAAATATTTATAGTGGTTCTTTTTGTTGTGGCAAAGAATTGGAAGCTGTTGTGGTATAAACAAGTTGTGGTATATGATTGTGATGGAATACTGTTGTGCTATAAGAAATGACGAGCAGGCAGATTTCAGAAAAACCTGGAAAGATTTACATGAACTGATGCTGTGAAGTAAGCAGAACCAGGAGAACATTGTACATAGTAACAGCCATGTTGAAAGAGTCATGATGGAAAATGCTATCCACATTTAGAGAAAGAACTGATAGAGTCTGAATGCAAATTGAAGCATACTATTAAATTTTTTTTCTGTGCTTTTTTTCCTTTTGTTCTGTTCCTTCTTTCACAACATAACTAATATGGATATATGTTTAACATGATTGTACAAGCATAGCTCGTATCAGATTGCTTGCTGTCTTGGGGAGGGAAAAAATTTGGAACTCAAAACTTTATAAAAATGAATACTGAAAACTATCTTTACATGTAATTGGAAAAAATAAAATACTATTTACATTTAAAAAAATATCCTTTTTTGATAACTGGATTGAAGAGAGTACTTGTCAGAGAGGGGCAGGTAGGTGGAGCTCATCATTTTCCCCGAGTTCAATATGGCCTCAGACACTTACTAGTTGTGTAACCCTAGGCAAGTCATGTAACCCTGTTTGCCTCAGTTTCCTTATCTGTAAAATGAGCTGGAGAAGGAAATGACAAACCACTTCAGTTTTTTTGCTGAGAAAAACCCAAATGTGATCATGAAGAATTGGACAGACTGAAACAACTGAACAAGAGGTCTGGCTTCAGGATAGTGTCCACTTAAGGTATTAGACAGTAGTTTAGGTGAGAGGACAAGTGGTGGAAAACTGATGGAATGGAGTTTCTCTCCTATTCCTGTCAGAAGATTGTCTTCTACTATACCATGTTGTTCCCCTGAGATAAGGAAAGATATGATGGTATCATCACAAATATGACTTTGGCATTGAAATACTTAGGTTTTTCTGCGATAGAAAGCAAACAAAAAAGTTTCAATCCCAACTTCATGTTGTGATAAAAATTGTCAGGGTTGGAATAAATATTAGGAGTTGATTAGAGGTATCAAGATTATGTCTCATAGATGGCAGATATAATCCTATACCAGGTTGCCTTTTTAAATAATACTCTAACTTGTGGTGTGACTTCGGACAAGTCATAACCTCTCTAGACCTTGTTTTCCTCATTATTAAAATTTATTCTAGTTAATACTAGAGATTTAACTGACATTTAGTTGAGAAAATCCGAATTAAAAGATATACTTCATCTTCCACAAATTTCTATTTATTTTGATCATTTACCTGTGACAATGTAAATGAAACTTTTCAACTACATTTCTTAGTATTAAACATCAGTATTTGTATTAATCCTAGGTTTGAATTGATTATGCTTAGAAGTTTATTTTATATAAAACACACATATAATGTGTGTATAAATCTAGGTGTATATAGTTTATTTCATATAAAATATGTAAAATTTTATGTAAATTTTTATGTATTTTATTTTATGTAAAATACATATATAATATGCGTATATCTTTGTATATGTGTGAATACACACACACACATATACATATATACATACACACAGACATTTATACATGCTTTCTTTTGGTTCTTTTTTGATGGCAAAAAATTGCCATCGTTTATAATTTTTTTAACCACCTTTTTCTTTGGATAATAATAATAACTAACATTTTATACAGCATTTTAAGGTTTTCAAAGCATCTTACATGTGTTATCTTGTTATATCCTCACAACAAACCTGCAAGGTAAGTGCTATTATTATTCTAATTTTATCAGTGAGGAAATTGAGTGTGCTGGTGGAGGGGGAAGGGGAGTTTAAGAGGGGAGGTGGTGTTAAGTCAGATGCACACAACTAGTAAGGATCAAAGGCAGGTCTTCATGACTCTGCTTTTGGAATTCTCTCCACTATCCTACTTATCTGTCCCAGATAAAACAAAATTATAAACTGCAGTTCAGTATTGTCAGTCATCCATAAGGAGAGATAAAAGAAGCCTGTTAATGGTTATTTTAATTTACCATTATTCTTACTTTGTTCAAAAGGGATCCCATTAAGGTAATATGAAAAAGTTAACAAAATCCAATCATCTACTAATTCTTAAGTGCTAAAATGTTTTTTTTTTTCCCCTCTCTGGACGACATATACACAAATATCATTCATTCTAATTCCACTTTACAGATGAAGACACTAAGGCCCAGGAGGGGAAGTGGCTTGTCCAAGGTCACAAAAGTATTAAGACAGGGATTTTCTCTAAAGTCCTCTTATTCCAAATCTAGTCCTCTCTCCAAAAACATCTTTGCGACATAAGCAGTTACGATATATTTACGTTGAACATTCAACTTTCCCTAATAAATTTTTGAAATCCCCAAAATTTACCCTTTCTAAATCATTGGCAAATATTTGTAAATGGTATGTAAGAATAGTAGTTAATTACTACTTAGAATAACAATGTTCCTACCCATTACTATCCTTGAAGTGAACTTATTTTTAATAGTAAAAAACTTGTTCAAGCCAAACAATTTGAAACAAAATTTAAGGGAAAGGAATATAATAGTACATCAAATTTTAGGCTATCAGGACACTTTCTCACATTAACTGACAACTATACATTGAAAATGTTTTTAAAGTTAATAAGTAAGAATTACTTGAAATCTGAGTTATGCTTAGTGTGACAAAAGAAAAAGGAACTGAAACGTGATGAAAAACTAGTTTTAGTATTTTCTCTTATATTGTTTCTTTACCATTGTAAGCGCACATATAAGCTCTTATTCTCTATGAAACTCTCCCAAATTAGGCAAAGAAGGTGTGGAATTTTTCCCATTCACTTTAACATGAATACATTTTAATATTTGCTCTTATTTATAAGTAACCATTTTAGTTTATTAATTATACTAAGGAGCAAATATCCTTAGCGCCAAAGCTTTGGTTGATCTTTTATGCACCACCAGCTGAAGTGCCTCTTCTAAAGTTACTATATCCCCAATGCACAAATTTTCACAGAAATTGAATAATTCCTATTTATATTTATTATAATTTCTCATTAAAGATCTCTTCAGATGGTTAAGTGAAGTTAGATGATGAATTATAACTCTGTGCGCTCTTTAAGAATTATCACTAATTAGGAATTCAATAATGTTTTAACATACTTAGTAATTTTAATCTTTTTTTTTTTAAAGGAAGAATTCTTTTCTTCCCTTCCCCAGGCCTACTTTTTTTTTTTCAGAGTTGAAGGATGTTATACTGTACCTTGATTTCTTCTATTTCATCTGGTACTATCTTGTAAGCCGATATAGTCCCACCCAACCTGAAATTGGGAGAAGAAAATACTCTCAAAATCAAGAACAGTATATAAGAAAATATGGAAAATATAAAATGCAACATCTTCAAACTAGTTTATAAGAAAAACTAAGTGACATTAGGGAAGATGGAAACCTACTGACTGTATTTCAACAAAAACTATGTATTACAGGCTGAAGAAGGAGTATCATGAGTTAGCAAGTGTAAGCAACAATGCACCTCCTTTATTTTATATCCTCAAGTGAGGCTTCCTTTTTCAACTATGACAAACATTAAATTTAAATATAGAAAGAAAATGAGCTTGGAACCAGATCTCCAAATCACTATCACAAAATGAGATTTTTTTCAAAAATAATGAAACATATTCAATTTTGCTATTTTCATTAAAATATGACTTAATATTATTATTTAAATATATAAATAACTGATTTAATCAACAGAAATTTCATATCATCCATAAGATAAAAACCTAAAATATTAATTTTACAATCATTTAATCTTTACATAATGCCCATTTTGTATGTATCATAATACACATGAATATACTTTATACATACCTATACATACACTAGGTGAGCGTGATGAAAATATTTTTATGGATAAGAATTCATAATCAAGAAAGTTTGGATAATACTAGTTTAGTGTACAACAAAGGAAATTACAGTTTGATTTTAAAATCTATTTCATAGTGCATATAGATCATACTACTGACATTTTGACACACATATATTATCTACATTGGAATCTAGTTTTACAAAGTAAAAAAAAATGGCAATTCCAGACTCCCAGATAAATATTACTACAAATTAATTCAATGTCAAACCACTTCTACTCTTAAAGGCAGAGGCAGCAGATGGCTTAATATATGTCCATAGAAATTGAAGAGACAGAACCACATACTTAACAGTCTGATGAATTAACAGATTGACTAAATCAGGGGTGGTGAACCTGCAGCCTGGAAGCCATACATGGCCTTCTAGGTCCTTGGGTGTGGCCTTTTGACTAAGTCCAAGTTTTACAAAATAAATCTTTTTATTAAGGAGATTTGTTCTGTGAAGTTTGGATTCAGTCAAAGGGCTGCATTTGAGGACCTAAAGGGCCACATGTGGTCTCGAGGTCTCACCCACTCCTGGACTAAATGATGATCTGGCCAAAGGCAAGAAAGGCATTCTGACTACACTAATCAGATAAATGAGAAAGGGCTATATAAGTGATGTGAAAAGGGAACAAAGGTAACAGCAAATAAATTCTAGAAATAATGAAGGAAAAAAAACTGACTCATAAACAAACATATTCTTAGAGAAACTAGCTCCACAAAGGAACTTGCTCTTGTTCCTTTTTTTCTTCTTCATTTTTATCTACCACTCATATTATTTCACCAACTTTGTATCATGCCTACTTCTGTGGATCTGAAATTTTTCCAAAGAGAAAAGCAATCTTCATCAACTCGAGCTTTCAAAAGACTCTGATCTTCACAATGATATGCGAAATAGATATCATTGAATATCTTATATTATAAACACTGACAGATTTCAACTGTAAATAAGTTCAAAATAATTTTTCACTCCAAATTAATTTTGAATTTTAGGATACTTGAATAAACTTGACATTACATAAAAGGTAATTTAAATCTTTCAAATGTGTATAACAATTACTGCTGAAATAATATTTGGCTCAGAATTCTGGACAAGATAGCTAACTAAATTCCCTGAGGAATTTAATATTAAGGTGCATATAAAGGGAATATACTATAGATCTCAAATCAGACATTTAATACTATGATATGAATGTCTGAGTTATTTATAATTCAAATTTTAAAATAATAATCTATGCCACCTAACTTTTGATTATAAATTGCTTTATATTATTTTATAATTATTTCACATAATAAATTTTGTTTCCACCATTAAGCAATACATTTTATACTTCTATTGTGTCTATGGTGCCTAGCACAGTCCTGAACACTTAGTGAGTATTTAAGTAATATATATTGAATGAACCTTCAAATATTTCAGAAAAACAATACATTAAGCAATAACAAAATGAAACAACAAAAAAAGGAAATAAAACTTAATCCATGGGGTGTGTACAACATCAGTACAATCACTAGTCAAATTTTTAAAGATAAAATGTAATTTATGTTATTTTCATAATAGCTTAACAGTGCTTTGTACACAATAAGTACTCAATATTTTTCTTTTTTAAATTGTAGACTTTAATACTAAAACTTAAATATACAATAGAGAAAAGAAAAAGAAACATACACTTTATTGAAACTTAAATACAAAAAAAGAAACGAAAAAAAGCATGTCATATGCACAGCAGAACGTAAGAGAAAATTCAAAATATATAGCAATAAATTTCCATTTCAAGAAAGCTTATATAATAAATACTATGCATTGGGAGCCATCCATCTTTTCTTTGCTTCCTTGTAAGTTTTCTTTTGTTCTCTGCTGTGCACTTTTTAATTTGTTTTTTCCCCCTCATTTCTCCTCCCTTTTCCCTGAAGGCTACAATTAAGTGTGGATATATTTATATACAGATATATACATACACACACACACACACACACACACACACACACACACACACACACACATACATACACATATGGACATATATTTTCCTTAACAAATTCTACTCCTGATTGTTGTTTTTATATTTGTGCGTATCTCTTATTTCCTATCCCTCCTGACTCCTGGGACTAAGGCAGCCTCCCAATCCAGCTAACCCCAGGCCTTGCCACTTGTTGTTACTCTACCTGTTACCTTGTCCTCCCATTACTTAACTTACTCCCCTCTAAAGATCCCTCCCTCATCCTCCCATTCCCATTAATCTGAACATCCTTCTATACCCCCCTTTAACCTATTCTCTCAGCCTCCCCCTAGAGATCCTTCCCTTATCCTCTTGCCCCTCACTATCAACTTAGCGTTTTATTTCATTCTGAATTTAGGAGACTTTTATACATGCAAACATACGTAAAACATACATACGTGCGCGCGTGTGTGTGTGTGTGGTGTGTGTGTGTGTGTACTTCCCTCTTGAACCCATTCCCGAAGAAAGTAGGGTTCCAGAACTAATAGCCCCCTTCCCTTGTCTAATTCCTCTGTGTTGGTTCTTCTTCTTGTACCTCATTTGTATAAAATAATTACTCTTTTTTGATGTTCCTAAACGGTTTTAAAGTCATATCATACTCAGGTCTACCCCAATCTTTCTTATGAAGTACCTAAATTCTAATAACTAGTAACAATCTTAGACATACGTTTTACATTTTACATACATAAAAGGTAAACAGTCTGTCCTTATTGAGTCCTTTGTAATTAGCTTTTGGTAGAACCTTATATTTCTTTTGGCTTTTGTAGGTCAAATCTTCTATTAAATTCGGTTTTGTTAAAAAAAATAAAATGTCCATTTTTTTTTCATTCAGGATTATATTTAGCTTTAATTTAGCTTTAGTATGATATTTTCAGTGAGAAACCCAGTTCTTTTGCTCTTCAACATATAGTGTTCCAAGACCTGTGGTCTTTTAGTGTCACCACTGCTAGGTCTTGTGTGATTCTAATTGTGACATCGCCATATTTAAACTGTTTTTTTCTTATTGCTAATAATATTTTATCCCTTAGCTGAGGGTTTCAGGATTTGACTACAATATTCCTGTGGGTTTTCCTCATAGGATCTCCCTCAGGTGGTAATTGATGGATTTTTTTCTACTTCTACTTTCCCCTCTTGTTCTAATGCTTCAGGACATTTTTCTTTAATTATTTCTTGCATTATTGTATCAAGATTCTTTTTTTTTTATCATGGCTTTCAGGTAGTCCAATTATTCTTTTTTCTCTTCTTAATCTGTTCTCCACATTAGTTGTTTATTTTATGAGATGTTTCACATTCTCTTCTATTTTTTTCTTTATATTTTGTTCTATTATTTCTTAATTTCTTATAACTTCACTGACTTCCCCTTGCCTAATTCTGATTTTTGTTTTTGTTTTTTTGCTTTTTGGTGAGGCAATGGAGTTAAGTGACTTGTCCAGAATCACACAGCTAATAAGTGTCAAATGTCTGAGGCCATATTTGAACTCAGGTCCTCCTGACCAAGGCCAGAGCTCTATCCACTGTACCATCCAGCTGCTCCCAATTCTGATTTTCAAGGAGTCATTTTCTTCCTTAAGATTCTGGATCTCCTCTTCTAATTGGCTGCACTTTCTTTTCATAATCTTTTTGTTTTTCTTGGATTTTTTTTTTTAGTTTTTCCTCAATCTCTCTAATTTGAGTTTTAAAGTCTTTTTAAAGTTGTCCTATAAATTATTTTTGGGCAGATGACCATTTGTTGTTACCCTTTAGGATAGAAGAGGATTTCTTTGCTCCTCTGAAGATGAACCCTGTTCTTCTTTATTCTCATAGTAACTCTGTATGGTTGGATTCTTTCCATGTGCATTTTTTTTTAAACTTGTAGTAGCTTAGTTTTTGTAATCACCTCTAGTCTTGGGGTGAAAGGGACAGCACATCTGGCCTTAGATCCTCCTTCAATTTTCCCCTCTGACATGGAACCAAAACCAAGACCTTTAGCTTCCCGTAAGTGCCCACAGCCAAGCAGTGCCTCCACCCCACTGCTTCTGCACTCACTGGGTGTGTGCTGGTTCCTTCTCGCCTCCAGCCATGCTCCACATTACAGCTGGGTCTGGCGTTCCTTGTCAGCAGAGGTTCCCTCAATCTTCCCCTGCTCAGATGCCCAGCTCCCCTCACTGTCCTGGGGATAAAAGTTCCTGTGGCTGAGGCTGAGGCAGCCTCCCAACTCAGCTAACCCCAAAGCTTGCCACTTGTTGTTTAAGAGGACCTAGCCTGGAGGTGTTTAATCTTCACAGGGACCAAACCTCATCCCCGGATTTTTCTTCAGATATTCTCTGAATGTCCCAGGAGGACTCCTGTTCTGCCCCTACTCTTATTTATTTTTACTGATCTATGTTTGCCTTGATATTTTATCTCTTTTGTGGGGGGAAAATCTTGAGAGCT